CTGAATGGGATCCTCTGTTTGTGAAAGCTGACAGATTTTACTCTCTCTCCTCCTTAACTCAGACACTTCACGCTTCAGCTGCCCGAGGTGGTGTTCGGTCCAGTCCACTCCAGCTTTCTCAGCCTCTCCAACTTTCTCTCTCATCTCAGAGCACTTCTTCCTCAGGAAGTGGGTGTACAGCAGGATACGTTCCTCACAGACCCGCTCAAAGTCATCACACACCTCCCAGGCAGCGTCCTGTAGGAAAAATGTACTATTTGCCTGCTATGACTGTTACAATAGTGATCCAAGCCAACTAAACAAGTCACACTCAATCACTGACTGAATTGCTGACTTGTAAACTCTCACACCAATTTGGTGCTCAGCATCTTGGCTTAGGACACGTAGTAGTTAATACTCCTATTAATTGTAAATACTGTTTGTTGTTTTGTTTTTTTACATTAAATGAATGATTGATTCTAAGCCAGGTTTGTTCACCCCTCCCACTGAGTCCCAAACATGAATCTTGTATTATTCTAACAGTTCCACTAACCTTTTGAAATAATGTCAACAGAGCACCGACTCACAGCTGTCATCGCACTGGCTGAAAACAAATGATTTCCCCCCCCTTAGCTGCACTGCTAATTTTTAAGGTTTACATACTTTTTCCACTCAGATATAAAAAATTTAAAAACACAAAAAATCCTTTGCTGAACCAAACAAATGCATATTTATGTTTGTGGATAACACTCACTCTTATAGAGCCTGCAGCTTCCATCAGCTTTTCCATTTTGGCCTCTGAAGCCAGCACTCTGTCTGTGATTACCCATTTGGTCTTTTCCAGGTGTCTCTGTTAAACAAATGCAGAAACTTTTCAGGACCTCATAAATGCCGTGCAACAAATGTTTACAACATGGGACTAAACTGACTAACCTGCATCTCTTGCTTTTCTTCTGTGACGGATATAGTGTTATGGCCTTTGTGTTCATCCACCGCACACATGAGGCACAGGAATTGCCGATCGGTGCGGCAGTAAAGCTCCTGAAGTTTGTCATGACGACTGCAGATGCTTTCTTTGATCCTCGTAGAAGCTTTTACTAGTTTGTGCTTTTGTAGCGGTGGCACCTGAAAATGAGGTTCCAGGTGAGCCTCACAGTAAGAGGCTAAACACACCTGACAAAACATGTGAGCTTTGCGTTTCCTCCCTGTGCAAAAGTCACACTGCACATCCCCAGGTGCAGCATAGATGTTATCATCAGAAGCTACGGTAGGAGCAGCTCCTTGTCTGGTTGTTTTCTTATGTTCCTCTAACAAGTTAGCCAGAATGGTGTTCCTCTTCAAAACAGGCCTTCTGTTAAAAGTCTGCCTGCACTGAGGGCAGCTGTAAGTTTCTTTACTGTCATGTTTTGTATCCCAGAAAGTATTGATACATTTCATACAGTAGCTGTGTCCACAAGTAGTAGTCACTGGATCCTCCAATAATCCCAAACATACGGAGCAGTCAAATAGGTCCACAGCGTGAGCCATTTTCTTCCTCCACAAGAGAAGTTACTTTCTATTTCTCTGAGGAAGGAGTGGCTTAAAGGCAGCTTGTTCCTAGTGGGAGGGCACTCAAGACCTCATTGACAGCACAATAAATGCCCGCTATTCTGATTTAAAGAATAACTGCATTAACTGGAAGTAAGTGAAAGTATTTGTGTGAAAGTATCAGCCTTTCATCAAATGCAGTCATGACCTGTTACCTAGATTCAAAGCTATTTCTCTTTCAGAAAAAAATGCCATTTTGATACAGGTCAGTAAAACAACCCCTGCTTTCCTTTTGGCTATTTTGAAAGAAGTAATTTGCTAAGTTAGAGTTTATTCTTCACATTCTGGCCAAACCACAGAGCACTAGTAGATATACATGATTTAGTGAGCTGCAAAACCTTTTTTAAAGCAATTAAATAAGTTTATTTCCTTTTTGTTATTTTGGTTCTTATGTTGGCAGAATTTGGTTTCACTTTTGAGTTTGTAACATTAACCTCCTAAGACCTGAACTTTTCCACGGCATGCATTTTTAGTTTCTCTTTGATATTTGGACATATTCGGCCCAATGAATGTAAAAACAAAGAATTACCAGATTTTTTTTTTAAACTTTATTTTTTGTTTTTTAACTTTATTTTTGTTTTTAAGAAAAATAAGAGCCACATATGAGCATATTCATTTAAAATTTTGATAGAACAGTAGCAGTATAATGTCCTCGTAAGTGGATATCAGGCCCTTGTAAAGCAAAATTGAGTATTTTGGTCTAAATAACCCAAATGTTAATTAATTTGTAAATTCTGTAGTAAACTGTAAATTGTAAATATTGTAAAACTTTTCTTCTGTCATTTAATGGTCGGGCATTGTACAGCAAGCATTTCACCCCCATGTCATACTGTGACAAATAAAATTTGAATTTGAAATGTGATGTCCACATATGTGGACGGCAGGTCCTAAGAGGTTAAATAATATACAAATAAAATCCTCTATGATAGCTGGGATAGGCTGGAACCTATCCCAGCTATCATATGGTGAGAGGTGGACGGGTCGCCAGATAGGCAACCATTCGCAGTCACCCTTATGGGTAATTTAGAATTACCGATTAACCTAAACCCCTCTAATTGCCTGTCTTTGGACTGTGGGAGAAAGCAAGAGTACCCAGAGAACATGACAACTCCACACAAAAAGGTCCTGGCCAGATGGTGGAGTCAAACTTGGGATCTTCTTGCTATAAGGCAACAGTGCTAACCACCGTGCACCATAAAAATAATAATAACAGCGTCTTAAAATGCAGTTCTATGGATCTGTATTTGCAAGATTACACTCAGAAATGAGTCTTTTGAGAAGAATAATTCCACTTTTATTGACATAATTAAACAGTCACATAATGGTTTAAGAATTCTCAGCATTGACATTTCTGTAGAGGATTTTCTCTATGAATATATTAGTGCATGTTTATGTAACTGCACCTTCTTGAACACTGTATACACACAACAGACCTCTGTGCACAAACACACTTGCCAAATAAATTCAGTTCAGTAAATGTTAGCCTAATGTCTTTAGCCTCACAAACAAAAAATATTTTAAACAAGGACGCTTTAGCTATAATGAGCAAGAGTCAACAGACTGTATTATTATACTGAAGAGTACTTTGGGAATAGTGATAAACATGTACTGATACACCTGATGTAATTCTGGTGCTTCTGATGTCGCTTTACTCTGGTGTGATTATCCTAACTGAGGCTCCTCTGGAGACCATGAACCCAGGGTACAGAGGCTGGGAGAATGTGGTCTGAACTCTGTGAACGAGCACCATTTGACCAGAATCAGACACGCTGTAGAAGGACAGGCTCCCTCCCTTGTGGTTCAAATACACTCCCACTGTAGAGGAACAGGGGACGGGTTTTCTAGTTTTGACTTCATTGTGCCAAAAAGCGCAACAGGAACTAGAAAGAGAAATGCACCAGGACTGGTCGGTGTAGCCGAAGCCACTTTCTTCCAGCTCTGTTCCGTTATAGCACAGGGCTATCTCAACCCGTGGCCCTTTCCATTCAACCTCCCAGTAGCAAACACCAGATAAACCCTCAGTGCACAGCACTTGATCATATTTGGTAAATCTATCTGGGTGGTAAGGGTACCTCTGGGGGTTTTTAGCCCAGGTTACTTTGGTGTTTCCATCAGAGAGCAACAGGTTTTCAAATGCTGTGTTGGGATCCAATGTTATGCAGCAGGAATCTGAAAAGTACAATGTCAGGAAATATTAACTCAGTGAAATCAAAGTAACGGAAAGCACAGAAACTGAATAAAAATATGTACACTAAACAAATGACTCACACATAGAAAACTCCTCTCTTGTCTTGGGATCAGGATCAACTTCAACTAAAAGTACAAAACATGATATTATTGAAAGTAGCACTTCCTGTTCTATTTAATTAAAAATGATTAGCATGATTTTACTGAGCATTATTTTAGCTAACTTCTCATCTTACTTGTCTCAGATATTTGTGCAATGCTCTTGGCCACGTTTTCCATTTTGTCTCTCAAGTCAGAAATAGCTTTTGTGACAAAGTCGAAAGGTGTGTGCAGTTGGATGTTCACATCAGAAGACAGATCAGGTTCTGTACAGTCAAAAATGGTCTGGCAGTGCTGTAAACATGCAAAACAATAAACACATCATTAACTGCTGCCCTGCACACAATATGATCCACGTATTTGACTGTTTGCGCACCTGCAGGAAATTAATGTGATCTTCAGTGAGCGACAGCTGCTTCAGTTGGTCCTCTCGCTTCCTCAGCTCACTGATTTCCTTCTCCAGCCGATCCACAAGCTCCCCAGCGCGACTCAACGCGGCCTTCTCCTGATCTCTGATCAGATCGTTCACGGCATAGCGCCTTTTGTCTGCCTTCAGAACAATCTCAGCATAGGCTTTCTCATTTTGAGCAACTGCTGCATCACTTGAAGCCTGAGCAGTAAAAAATTCCATTTAATATCTCAAAGTTGTTGGTTTAAGGGCTTAATTTAATTAATTTCCATTTAATTTCTAGACAACTTCATAATTTTATCTTGTTAAGAATTTACATGACGTTTTGGAAGTGGCAAATTTATTCTTGATTACACTTTTTTTCCTTTGAGGTAACAAAAAACCTTCACGAGAATAGGACAAGAGGACATAAAGGAACAATGCTGGTTACTTTGCAGAAACAGATTTTTAAGGAAAACTTTACATAACACAGATTCAAAACTTCACCTTCAGTCCTTTCGTTTTCTGTCTTAGTTGCCGGAGCTGTTTCTCTTTTTCTTGAATGCCTTGCTGGATTATTTGTTTCTTCTTTCCAAGTTGTTTCTAAAAGTCATCATTACAAAATCATCAAAGTTTAAATTACAGAAATACAGCTGAATATAAAAAGTCCCTTAAAACCCTATGACTGCTATAACAGAAGCTCTAGCAGTAACTTTAAATTGAAATTCACAGCAGCATGGATGATGGTTGGAAGTCTACAACTATATTATTACCTGCTTATCTTTTCTCTCTGCTGCAGCCGAGACAGTGTTGTGGCCTTTATGTTCGTCCATCACACAAAGGAGACAAACGCACTGCCCATCACTGCGACAGTAGACTTCGAGTAGCTTGTCGTGCTTGGAGCAGATCTTCTCTTGTATGGAAGCTGACACTTCGACCAACTTGTGCCTCTTAAACGCAGCAGACTTATAGTGAGGTTGCAAGTGAGTGGCACAGTAAGATGCCAGACATACCAGGCAAGACTTAACAGCTTTCAGCTTCCTCACAGTGCAGAAATCACACTCCACATCCCCTGGTCCAGCTTCATCCTTTACTCGCATGTTGGATTGTGCTCTCACAGACATTTTTACCATCAAATCAACCAGCACTGTGTTTTTCTTGAGGACGGGTCTTGGGTTGAAAGTGTGTCTGCACTGTGGGCAGCTGTAAATACCACTCTGATCCTCCTGGTCGAAGCAGCCATTTATACAGTCCATACAGTAGTTGTGGCCACAGTGAAGAGTCACGGGATTCTTCAAAACATCCAGGCATATGGAGCAGGAGAAGGAATGTAGTACTTCACAGCTCTCGGCCATCTTCGTTCCACATCTGTAACTTTCACTTTCAATGGAAACAAAAGTGCAAGTGATTTAATAGTCTGTCCAAACACGTCCAAAAATCTAAAGCTAATGTAGCTCCACCTATAAATCTGCAGAGCTACTTTTCGATTATTTTTTTTAATTTTTTTAAAAATGTTAGACATTTTTTTCTCAAATATAAAGTTCATTATTAATATTTATTTATAAATAATTTATTTACTTACTTACTTACCACTGTGATATATTAATATATTGTAGGTAGATGCGCTATTTAATAAAAGCACTAAGAGGAAAGGTGTCTGGTTAAATACAAAGAACATATTCCATGCGAGATTTAAACACAGAACGCGAGATTTCCCTGGTAGCCATGGAAACGACAACGGCGTTCAGTTTCTCAGTGAGGAAGAGGCGGAGTGGTTTTCCTCTTGTAATGTTTTTATTTAGCGGACCATGGAGCTCCCGGAGACACTTAGAAAACATTTAGAGGACTTTTCTCGCAACGTTTTGTTTGACCAGAGTCGGACGGAGTCTTCCTCTAAAGACCGCGACGCGTTTTTGGCACACGGTGAATGCAGCCAATGTTACTGATGAATTAGCATTGGTGTTAGCATTGATGTAGCTGCACTAATGGCTGTTGTTTACTCAAACTAAGCTTTCCAGTAGTTTATTTGCACTTAGGTTGCTTATTCGGTTCGTGTATGTTCTGCTGTTTGTATTTGTTTTCAGACAATCGAGTTCTTTCAAGCCTCCAGCTCCAGATGTCTCTGTACTTTAACATGTGGTTCTTCCCCTGGTGGTGGATCAGTGAAACTGTAATGCTGCAGCTTAAGGTATTATGCCAACATAATTCTGGTTTACAATCTTGACCCTTTCCACTCTTATTTAGACTGTTATGCACCTTTCTGTGGTATGCTGGATTTCAGCATCAGGGGTCCACCCTGTAAAGGTCGCCAGTGTGTCACTGGACTAACAAAGAAAGACAGACAACCATTCACAGCTACAGTCGATTTAGATTCAATAAATAACCTAACCCCACTAGCTGCATGTGTTTTGACTGTTGGTAGTACCCAGAGAGAACCCACACAAACACAGGGGGATCATGCAAAGTTCACACAGGACCTTCTTCCTGTGAACCAACAATGCTAACTACTCTACCATCTGCTGCATAGTTTCCTGGCCATGGATCCAAAGTGTGAATTTGATGATCACCAGGCCACTTAGTTATTACTTTTTCCCTTGTGACATGGTGCTCCATCCTGTCATGCTGGAAACTCCACAGGTGCCTGAAGGTCTCCCAGGTTAACATGTCGAATGTTTTCTGCAACCTACCCTGTGCCCGAGGTACTAAATTAAAGCCCCTAAGTTACACAAATGTTTGTGGGATACAATGAACGTGGGCACAAATTAAAGGGAATGAAGCTGCAGTAAATCCTGGAAAACTTTCAACTGGGTGCTCAGATTTTGTTTTAGTGTTTTTTGTTAATTATTTGTGAGCACCACATGAAATATGTAGCTCACCACTGAAACATAAATAGTTACTGGACAAAACAGCAACTGAAATAACAGTAAATACCAATTTTAAAGGTTATTGAGACAAAAAGGAGAATACATGATAGCAAGAAGACTATTGTGTATCAAAAATTACAAACCTTGGCTTCCTTTTATACTCAGTGTAGTTATTTAGCAAAAATTACATTCAGTTAAAAATATGTTAAATGTATTTGACCTTTTAGTAGTACCGTGTGCCACGTTTTCACGGGTTTTTTTTCTTTCAACTGTAATCTTACCAATAAAAACATTCCAAAATACACAAGTGGTTATGAAGAGGAGCAGGAAAAAAAATCACATCATACGTTTAAAAGCAAGGATGTGGAAGAATGAACAAGATTTAACATTTGAGACACATTTGGCACTTTGCAAAATTTTTATATTTCAGTTGCTTTAAAGTCAACACATAAATATTTTTTGAGTGTTTTCAGCTGGACATAAAATCCCAAAACAGTAATATCTGACTTTTTTCGATACTTATTATTTTAAAAAGGTAAATCTGAATATGCAACAGGAAATTTGCTTGAGTTTATCTCAGAGTGTAGCATTTTAAAAAAAAAACATTACAAAGTGGATACAAGTTTTAGTGTTAGACTATAAACTGTGTTGTTTGGCTTGTTATTTCCACCAGTATCCTGCTTTGTCAGACTACTACAAAATCATCCTTGTTACTATTCTTATCCTGATGACGCTGATCGAGGCTATTCGACTCTACCTTGGTTATGCCGGGAACTTGCAGCAAAAGGTGCATTTATACATTCACATATGAAATAAGGATATTTGTATAATTATATGTAAAGAAACCCAGTGAGTGGACGGCAGAGATGAAAACTTGTCAAATGACTGTATTTGTTGAAGGTCCCAGAGCTGGCTGGATTTTGGCTCTTGAGCGTCCTGCTGCAGTTTCCATTAATCCTGTTTCAGCTCTTTAATGAAGCCATCCTTGTTCAGCCCCTGGAGAGAGGTGTTCACATCGTCCTTGCCTTATTCATACTCACACAGGTATGGTAAGTTGCATTATCAACATTTTCAGAATTTCATAGCTACATTTATTAACACTGATTTTATCCCTGAATGCTCCCAGGCCATTTCTGGTTTTGTTGCGCTCCGCGACATGGTCAGACACACAGAAAGCCAATTTCATCTGCGACAGTTTGACTGACTTCTCACACTCTGACGTCCACATCTGGACACATCTGGGCAAAACCTCTGCTCACATCTCCAGGGTCACAGGCTGACAACAAGAAACTGTCACATTTTGTCTTAGACATGCTGCACGGGGTAGCTGCTACTCAAGATCCGTTGTTGAAAATAGGGGATTTTTAACATATATTTTTTGTATTTTATTAACATTTATTTTATTAATATGTTTTCACATTTTGCATTAAAAAACATGAACATGATGTGAATACTTTGTCGTTTGTTAGAAAGAGCCAAAGATGAAGATTTTTCAGCCATAAATCAGGTCTTTATCAGGGCCATTAACATTAAGCAAAAAGGAAAAAAAGTGATTAAATTCAGAGTCAATTTATTTATTTCATGTTTAATAAGAGGCATTTTTAACTATTCCTGGAGTTTTCCCTTCCCTCTGATCCATACTGAGTATTTTTTTCTAGGGTTTCTTTTGTAAACAACTGTTGAAGTAAAAAAGAAAAAAAATTCCATCACTGACCAGTGAATAAATTAAGTGTGTACTTCTCAGATTAGAGGTTTTCGCTTGTGCAAGGCTGACTGTGATGTCCTTTTGACCGTTACTTCTCGTGGAGTCACAGTTGTATGGCTTTCTTCTCCAAAGTGATAGAGCCTAATGTCCTTAGCCTGAAGCACGCTGACTGTGTCACTCTGTGGACGTGGAAGTTGCTCTCTCATGGGGGATGAAGGTAAAATACCCCTGTGTCTTTTGTCGTTGCTTTTTCTGAGGAAATTGAAAAAGGAGAGACCAGGGTTTAAATGAACAATGCTTGTATTATTATCATAATATTTAACAGAAATAATAAATCACAGAATTAAGAGGATAATGGAGAAGTTCACCTTATTCCTGTTAGGTCCCTAAGCACAGGCACAAAAAATCTGCATGAATCGGGTTCCTTCAGGGAGGTGTCACGAGTATGAGCTTTCAGGTCCTGAACATCATGTCTGAACAGTGATGAATCCACTGAATAAAGTCAAAGTAAAGTAAGTAACAGTGATGGAGCTATTTCATGAAAATTTATCACAATAATAACTAACTGCAAACTGACTAGTCTTAATATAACAAATGTGCAACCCAACCTTCTGAGGAATTGTCTTCTTCCCTTTTATACCATTTGGTCTCGGTCATTTCTGTGCGTGAGGTGTCTTTTGCATCAACGTAATGTGAGAGCCATGAAGAGCTGTCTCTAAAAATGTGCCGGCCACTGAATTTGTTGTTGTTGAAACTTGTCAGTAGATGCCTTCTTGGAGTAATTTCTGGAGACATATTCACATAGGTGAATTTGGGAGATCTGTCACAAAAGAGACACAACATTTCTCAATCTTTAGTTCTGTTTAATGATAAAGATATAATAAGATTGTGAGGTTTACCCGTGGGCTGATGTAAGCAAAGGTGGCAGCCCTGAAAGGGGAAGACAAGTTTCACTACAGAGGAGCGACAATTTGATACAAACTTGAATTGACTGACTTTTTAACATTAGTAATAATATAATTTAGTTCCACCTGAAAGAAGTGTACAGACAGACAAACCTTTGTAGAATTTGTAGGGGGTAAAAGGCTGGCGGTGGCAGTGATGTTGATGCTGGCTGGACTTTATGATTTTTGATGACGGTGGAATGAGAGCCCTGAGGTTCAGTGGGGGAGAGGAGTGTCCCGGCCGTCCTGTCTCCATGTCCGAATCACCTGTAAAGTAAGTCAAGCAAGCGCTCCACATTAGTTTGGAAATACTCTGACCTTTACCTGTAGACTGAATCTCCAAAATAAACCTTACCTTTGTGGGGTGAAGCACCGGTGTATTTGCTGTGAAGTGGGCGTGGTTCTGGACTGTAACGTAGATCTGAGTTTTCCTGATTACAAATTTGAAATGAAAGATTATGGTCTGCTCCAGGTATTGCAAGACATCTGCAGATTCTCTGTGAATTATTAGTGCTTACAAAAGACAGGTTTATGGTTGATGCATAAGGCTTCAAATAAATGACCTTCACATGATCACCTTTACATGCTTGCAGCCCTGCCACAGCCTCACCTGACTGACCTCACCATGGTGAGTGATTGTAGGACCTTTTCTCATCAGAGTGTTTACCTTAACAGAGGAGGAAACAGTAAGGATCAGTAAATGTCTTCATCTGTTTACCAGCCTCAATATTGTAGTGTAGCTGGTGTTACTGTGAAGACCACAAACACGTTTGGATGCTGTTTCATACGTGAGGTTTCTTCCTGTGGCGTTCAGCAGGCCTCTTTTGGACGCGCTCTTTGATTGTTTTGTCAGGGGGCACGTCAGACTCCTGCAAAGATCATCAGTATTGTTTACAGCAGTGATTCCCAAAGTGTTGGAATCGTTTGAATTTTAAACTAAACAGGATAAGATGCAATTTTACTGGATAATATCCTTTTGGAGTGGTTCCAAAATCAAACAGAATTTTCTATTGAAATTTCCTTTGGTATCCCAAAGAACCTTTAATGAAGGTTTTGCAATTTGGCTTAAAATGTTCATGAAATAGTTACAGTGGCTTGCAAAAGTGGACCCTAAAATTGTCCAATAGCCTGTAATTAATAGGAAATAATTTTTGGATGTGTGATGATCAGAGCTATAACTAAATATCTGAGTTGGCTGCAGAAGATTTTCAGATTTTATATTTGGCCCATGTGACATTTCTAGTACATAAAACACTTAGGTCAGGAGACCATTTCTGACTGTATCTACAATATAAATAATGAAAATTCAAATCTTAAATGGATTTTGACTTTTGTTCCAGACTAGATAACCTCAAAATATTTCCTCTTTTGTTCGATCATTTCATTTGTTAATATGCATCCAGTCCTGCATTTCAGGCCTGCATCACATTTTTAAAACAAGCTGGGATAAGGGTAAATGTGGGCTAATAACGTCGCAATAATTGCAATAATAAAATAATGATGTGAAATGAGAGAGGTGATGTCAATGGGTGACTGCAATCATGATTTGGTATTAAAAAAATTAAAGAATTGTTTAAAAGCAATTTCATATTTCTCCCTCTAAAGTGCATAAAACCATGAAATGGTTCAAGGAATCTGCAGAAATGCCAGTCTCTAAAAGGCAAGACCAGAAAAAGATTAAATATTTTGAGTTCATAATGGCTAAAATCAAACAAAAGTCAAGGTGAACTTAAGAATCACCAACTTCTTCTTTTATTTAAGATCTGACTGATTAAAGACTTTTCGTGTTGCTTTTCAGGACCTTTTGCTGTGTTTTGTTTTTTACTCTGTTTGGTCGTCGTCTATTCCTCTCTTTATGACTCCTGAAGTGTTTCTTTTTTTTCGTCACTGGAGTTTGCTGTGACAGTAAACAGAAGCATGTTGTAAACTAACAGAACATATGACTTAAAACTGATTACTACAGTCAAACAGGTGCTGGAGGCTTCGGTGTATTAGTGTAGTCAGTTTACCTCTGTATATGTTTCTGGCTGGTTCAGCAAATGAAGTGGGAGTCCTTCTGAATCTGAACTATCTGAGCCACTTGTGCTATGAGAGCAAAAGAAAAATGTTTGCATTCAGGCTAATTCAGAAAATATTCTCCCAATCTCACATTGCCCAAGTGTGGTTAGTATGGATAAAAATATATATTTTTATCACCTGGTTTCGATGTCAGAGCTGTTGCCCAAATCTTTGCCCAGTCTTTCTCTGAACTCCTTTTGCAGCAATGCCAATTCTGTCAGACAGTAAGTGATCTCAAATAAAAAGCACAGACAAAATTAAAATAATTGCATACATATACAGTCACTATATCAAAACACAAGTATCCAGGATTATTATTAACGGTCATACAATAACAACTAGACTGAGTTGGAGCTTACTATAGTATTTGTTTTTATATTTGCTTAATCTCTCACCTTTATTGGATCAGGGTCACAATAGTCCAGGAGGGTGTCACACAGGTGAAAACCCAGGGACTTCAAGTCTTGAGTAGTAAAATGTGTTCCTCTCCTGTCGCCTAAGAGTTCAGCAAATTATAAATCCGCTTACGTGATATGTGCAAGCTTACAAAAAACATGCACATCTTCAGAAAGTTTTTTACTCACCCAAAGTGGAGCCTCCAAAGGTGGCCTCCATGGTGTAGCTGTTTTTGATGCCAAGTCTCCACATGACGATTCGTCCTGTGCCCTCTTTGCTCTTCTGCACCCGGAATTTACAGCTGTTAAAGGAGAACTAAGAAAAGAACAGTGTATATGAAATATCAAGAGTTTGATAGGTAGTAAACTTGAAGTTTAAATACTGGTGAGTGACAAACAGGTGGGTAAGGTAAGGCCCATACAACCACAGAAAAAAATTTCGAACTTTAATCTTAAAAGTCAGCAACACTGTTTGAAAGCCCTCAGACAAAATACACTTTACCTTATTGCTAGCATTCTTGCTCATCATTAGTGGAAAGACTCTCGCGTGAAGTTTCAGTGTAGAGTCAGCTTTGTTTTTGCAGCCATACATGAAGACATTGTTTTTTCTGCTGTGACCATGAAAATCACAGTAAAGAACTACATCTCTTTCGGCCAGTAATCTGAGGAAAATGCAGTGTGGCAGAGATTTCGATTAAGAAACAAATTCAGTCAACATTCACAATCAATTAAAAACTTGTGTATGCACAGGCTGTTTGGTAATCATCATATTTGAAACATATTGGAAAGCCTGAAGCACTTCAAAGGAGAAATATCTTGAGCTTGATTAAGCAACTCTAAACATGTCAAAAATGTTGTTGTTTTTTTAGCATTTTTTTTTATCAAGTCTCACTTTTCCACCATGTTTCGGGTGTGCCACACAGAAGGAAAGGAATCTCTGAGCAGTGTCCTGTAGTTTCTGTTGAGGTCCCTGCCTGCAAGAGAGCAGCGGTAGTTACCCACCACGACACCATCTGGGTTCAACATTGGGACCACCTGCAGCACCAAAGAGGAGCAAACAAAAATTAGCTTAATTGCCATAATTAAAACTAGAAAAACACAGCGATCTGTAAAAATACGTTTAAAAAAACAAGTGTATTATAAAAAATAGGTTTATTATATTAAATTGATTGTTATCTTCTTTCACAAACAAAAAACAAACACACAAATTTGCAATGTATTTCAGTACGGATTACCACATTAAGCCAGAATAGAGACAACAGGCACCTTAAAAACAAAAGTGTCCCTGAGAAGCTGAGCATCATCTGAGTCACCAAGAAGAAAGTTCAGGAATCCCTCCATCATCCAGGATGCATTGGATTCTCCTGGGTGCACCCTGGCTGTCACCACCACAGCCTTCTTGGTCTTGTCGTCCATTCTGTTAGAGTCCTGGGGTGTTACTGTTATCACATACACAGCGTTTCCAGCAAGACTTTGGCACAAGACCCGTACTTTGCAGTATGACCTAACTGTAGGGTTGGAAGTAATTCGGCTAAGGTAGCGCTGCAGGCGTGAATATGTGTAGGGGTAGCAGTGGGCCAGGTAGCAGGTGTCTGAATCATAAGGGAACTGGAGTGTCCAGGAGAGTGAGTAAAGGGTGATGCCATCACTGTTGTTGTCCTTTGTATTCTAAGTGACGCAGAGAAAATATACTTTTAGAAACAATCCTGTCTACAGTCAGACTTTCAATTCAGGCTTTAATCTTTGACAGATTACCTCTACACTATGTTCATACATTTAATTCTCAGCTAATGTTCAAAGGGAGAAAGTGATTGGTTCTGGGAAATAAGGTATCATAGTTAAACTTAACTCCAGATGCCACCTACCTGACTGCAGTTCTGGTAGTATTTGATATTTGAACCTGCGCGTTTCCATCCAACACCATTCTCTTCAGCATCCCTCTCAGAGTACAGGAGTGGTTTCATACCCTGTGAATACAGACTGCTCCTCTTCATCAAGTTAATGATAGTGAAGCGGTAGGTGACGCCAGCTTTTGTGTTCCTGACCCTGAAGTAAAACCACTGCGTGTGCTTTGTTGTGTACATGTCTGTGCGCAGGGTCAGCTCATAGTCATAGGCACCCCTGAACAGGCAAGAAAATATGAGCAGAGATCCAAACTGAACCTAACATTACTCCAAAAGTGAAAATATACAACTGAAAAGAACAATAAACCTGCAGACTCACACTTGGACGGCCTTCTGAAGGTTCCCACTCTCAAACCGTGACTCAAACTTGAGAGTCAGCTCTGACTGACTGACATCATAAAAAGTGGCTTGCTTAATGGGTTCTCTGCTTCCTCCAATACGAGAGTAGGTGAAATATGGGTGCTTAGCAGCTTTAAAGGGTCAGAAGAACAAAACAAAAAAAGAGAAACACTAAATTTACTTAAAGCTTTAAGATGCACTGAATTTACATTGTTTTTTCAGAGAATAGTGACAGTATACAGTATATAACTTAAAGTACATATGAAATAACCTGGAAGTGCAAACATAAATCCCAATGATGACAGTTAAGAGTTACCATGGTCAATGCAGAATACCACCTTCCCCCTCTCCTCTCCGACTGGCATGGGTGTCCTCTCATATCCTGTGCACTGATAGAAGGGCTCTGGCTCTGGTGGGTCCCACTCTAGAAAATACACTCATTTTAAACAAGGGAATGCCAAATTTCTGTTCAACATATTGTTGGTATGGTTTTTATTCTTACCACTAAAAAAAACCCCCAGTGACATCAAAGTTTTATTGAAATGAAGCATTACCTATGTGATGGATAATGTCGCTGATGACCTCACACTCTATTGGCCAGCGGATGCCGCATGAGAAGTTGACCAGTTCTGGTGGTGGCCTGAGACTTATAACAGGTCGTCCACCACTGATGGTAACGAGTAGCTGTGTGGTCCTCAGCTTCTGACTTAGGTCTCTACATACTGAGTGGGAACATGAAACACACCTTTAATGCTATTTTAACAATCATGCTGTTTGTTACAATCTTCAACATGTATGCCCACTTGCCTCATGGGGTTTACGCTGACAGATGCAGTTATCTCATTTATAAAACAGTGCTTGTTAAATATATAAAGATGTAAAACTGAAATGAGATGACCATGCTTGCTTTTCAAAAGTTCATTACATTGACACTCGTGTATCAGCAACATTTAGGCTGCATACATGTTATACAATAACACCCTTTATGAAAACAGCTTACACTGCTTCATCTTTGTCAGTTCCTCATCATCTTCATCTGTGCGGGAGCAACTGGTGTCTGCTGTGTCCAGCTGGTGGGCAGTTCCACAATTCCTAACAGCAGAGCTGACCACGGTTGATGTTTTCTCTGCCTGGTCAGGAAAATATAAGTAATCAGTGCTGGATCAATTTTTAACCAATAAACATATATAACTTAGCACCTGCACCAATACTGGTTTGTAATCAAGACAATATAAAATAAAAACATTTCAACATCTTCTAGTGGATGTTTTCAGTTATGCTGTTTTCAGGTCTTTCCGTCGGTCATTAGCTGTTACATACATAGAGTTCAGAAGTTTACATACACTCATCACTGGAATGAAACTCATGGGATTTTTAGGCTTTTAATAATTTCTTTGAACAATGTTTTTTGTGTATGTGTGTGTTTAGGATCATTGTCCTTTTGGAAAGGCTCATTGTGTTTTAAATGTCTAGCTGTTGTTTTTAGCTGAAGAATTTGGAGGTAGTCCTCCTTATTTCACTCACTTTGAATAACGTACCAGTACCACTGGCAGCAAAACAGCCCCAAAGCATGACGCTACGAACACCATGCTTGACAGCTGGTACAGAGGGCTTAAGTTTGAAAGTTTCACTCCAAATATATACTTGCCATTATGACTAAATAGCTAACTTGCTAACTTGTCTGAACATAAAACTTTAGATTTCCTGTCCTGAGTATGACTGTTTGGGTGTTTTTCCACACCTTGGGAAAGTGGTGACACACCAGCATAATTTGAACTTATGTACAACTGTTTATGTTAAAGTGTGTCTGTATACTTTCTGACCCTGTGTCTGGAATACAGAAAATCCTAAATAATTTTCATTTTTAAATTCTTTAATAATATAGGCTGTACAATCATTCCAGCCTGGAAAAAGAAAAGTTCAAAGAATTCATTAACCCCCCCAAATTACCATTTGGTGTTTGATATTTAAGCCCATGATAAGTGTATATAATCTTCTGACTGTATAATTTCAAATCAAAGCAACAGATCAAAATCATCTGATACCCCCCCATTTTCCTCCAAAGAGACACAACAGGATCTGATCTGATACAGGATCTTCCACCATTGGTAGTCCAGGACAAATCACTGCAATACTTTCAATGACAAAAATGTGTTTTGCCCGTGTGTGCAACCTGTATCAGAAAAATATGACCAAAAGACAAAAACAGTTATTTTGTACATTTCAGTAGTGGTTTCTCACGTCGTTTAAATTCCAAAGGAAATGTTCATTCTTTTGGTTTTTCATATAGTTCAGTTTTAATTGATTTTTAGATTGGATTGGATCTTTACAGTTTAGTTTGAATATCAAGACCCCGCCCCCCCTCTTTTCCCCCTTTATTTCGTCAGGGTCATTTTTCAAAAAGGGTTAGGCCTGGCTTTTGTTTAAAAAATATCTACCAAATCAAACACGTACAACTGCCCGCTCTGGCGACCCGTTGTGAATGAGGGCGCAGCCCAACGTAGCTGTATCAGAGCTCTGCTTTAGTAAACTAAAATAACATTTAACGTAAACAAAGAAACTCCAAATTACCTGTGTAGGTTTGAGTGTAGAATCTCTCACGGGGATCTTAACCTGGCATTCCTGCATGAAGACAGCAACTTAAAAACCTTGTTCACTACATTTTCGAGCGTGTAAACGCCACTACTATCGTTAGCATACATTATTTTGGCAGCTTGCTAACATTTCTGACCGTGCTAGCGCTTTCTACGTTTATCACACTCTGACGGCCACTTACCTCGCTCATATTTGATTGTACTACGGCCCCCCGGCGAAATATAAGCGTACGTTTTAGAGGTAAGTAAGGCTACACTGAACAACCTTTTTCGGGGGACCTGACTTTGCTATGCAACCAAAAGCCTCAACACCAAAGTTGCCATGGAAACAGGTAACTTACTGAAAAAATGTAGGAAATGCGCGATGATGATGTCGATAAGAAAAAAAATACTTTGTGTAAAATATTACATACATTTTCAAAATAATTTTATAGTTACAAATAATAACAATATAATACTAATAGTAACATTATTATAAGATTTATAATAATAATAACATTACATGGCAGTACGGTGACTAGATTACCCTCTTTACGGGACTGCACAGCATGTATAGTCTTTGTCCCCTGTCTCACATTTCGGCTGGACCGTTGAATAGTCTGGCTTTTATCCATGGTCTATGAAGGGAAGGCTTTTTATTAGCCTATAATCAGAGGTGGGTAGTAACGAGCTACATTTACTCCGCTACATTTACTTGAGTA